CAATGTTAAATATAACCTGATAGTCAGGACAAATTTTGTAGCCTTGTCTTCAATCTAACCAACACTTCTGCATTTTAAATTCCTATCAGCTCATGCCCAATCTAGCCCACACATCCTCAGACTGGTCTCTCTGGCTGCACTTTCTCCCACATCAGCCCAGCCACAATGGGCCAATTCATATTCCAAGGCATCTTTGGGATTGGATCTTTCTCAAGTGCCTTTTGAATTATGTCATTTCCAAGTTCAAATAACACTTGGCATTGCCTATCACAGAGGGAGTAGTAGTAAAAAAAAAAAATGCCTTTTTCTGGCATTCATGACCCTAACACAACTACACAAACCTTATGCTTCAGTCTCTAAGAACTAACAAATGCCTACTTATAACTGATCAGAGGCCAGCCCATCCCAAATGAGCACCATACTCCTCATTCCAGAGCCACCACAGGCCTGCACCCTCATTCCTAGAAACCTCATTCCTAGCCCTACCTTCCTATTCTAGCTCTTGGCTATAAAAACACTCACCTCTATAAATACTATTGGCCACCTTTGCTGTGCCAATTCTTAGAGATACAAAGGAACAAGTTGTAGTTCCTGAGTTAAGGAACTCGGTGTGGAGGGGGTGAAATGTGTAAGCAAATAATTATAGAACAATGTGAATCCCATTATAGAAGAGGAACAGGAGACCCCCAGGAGTGGGAAGAGAGTGATTAAGGCAAAGAAAACTGACCTAAATTGTGGAAGAGGAGAAGGGCTTTTCCAGACAGACAGACAAGAAAAAGGAGAAGGGAGCCACAGGAGTGAAGGGACCGAGGTCTGATGATGCCAGGGGCACTTGGGGGCTACAGAGGGGACACATGGAGCAGTGAGTTCAAAAGTGAGTCAGAGAGAGGCCAAGTGAGCCACTTAGGAGTTTTCATTCTGCAAACTGTAGAACCATTGCTGAGCTATGGGAGAGCTCCATGACCAGATTTGGGGTTCAGAAATGTCAACCTAGATGGTTATAATATGGATGATGAACATGGGGACACAGAAAAAACCAGTGAGGAAGTTGTTGGAGGGATTTGGGTGGTGTAGATGATGAACTGGACAGTGGTAGAGGGAAGGAAGGGTGGAGAATGCTTTCGGACTCTAAGCACAGGCTTGGTTTTATAGGACAGCTAGACACTCAGACGACTTAGCAAGCATACTATGGGGTGGCTGGTGTTCTGCCATTAGAGTTAGAGACCTAATTGCACAGGAACCCTATGTCCACGGAAAAGTACACAGTCTTCTAAACAGCCCTTTTACAAATGAACATTTAGATCCAGCCTGTTTTTGGAGAAGGCCCTGCTTGCATTCATCAGGTTACTGTCCTGCATGCCAACAAAATACAAACATATTTCTTTCCGCATACACTTTTGCTTATTAAAATCAGATTAGCTCATCTTAATGTTGTGAAATACAGCTGGATGGTCAATTTTGTTTTATAGCAAATGTTACTTCACTAATTTATTTATTTTTGATTGTACTAAGAAAAAGCTAAATAAAATCCTTTTGAATAGCCTTTGACAGATGGCAACCTATGAGAAGTGACCAGAAAAGGAGACAGCGGTGACAGCGAACGTTTCCCTGTGAGGAAACACACAGGCGAAGGGAGTCAGCGACGACTCCCACAATCATTAAACTTTTGGTGAGAATGGGGAGCAGGACAGCCTGAAATGTAACACAAAAGAGAAAGTGCTCGAGATAAGCTCTGTGAGGGTAAGGCTTAGCACCAGGACCGCACATTACAGGGACCCATTAAATATTTTCTGGAAGGAAGTTGAGGAGGGAGTGAAGGAAAAAGGGGTTGGGAAGAAAAGGGAAGAAGGACTCACTAATGTCGGGGAAGACACTTGGGAATGAGTGACTCTACCCCAGGACAGTTGCTCTCTGCCCATTCATACCTGTGCTTGGATCAAGGAAATGAATAAGGAACAGCAAAGGAGACAAAAAAAAATTGAAGATAAAAATGCTTCCTACTATCCTCAGCCACTCTTGCCTACAGAATTCACCCGTCGCTTGATGGGTTCCATGGTTCTGCTTCTGAACATGTATGCCTTTTGCAAGCAGCGCCTTGCTGTCAACTCTGCCTGGACTATACATCCCCCAGGTCACAACTCAAATATGACCCCTTAGGATGACTTTGGCTGACCCCACGTGTCCATTAGATCTTAAAGCCCTACACTTCTTTCATATCTTATTCTTTTTATAGCGCTCATCACCCCTCCCAATTATTTATTTATGTGTTTAGTAAATCATTGTCTTTTCCCTTTCCAGTGGATTATAAGTTCCAAGAGAGCAAAGATCTTGGTTGCAGACTCCATCACTGTATGTCTTTCAGCCAACAATAGTTGCTGGTATGTAGTTTGTTCTCAATGAATAATTTGCTGAATAAATATTGCATTAAAGAGAAAAGGACAGTATAAGGATAGATCTGAAAAGTATAGTGCTTGGTGATTTTTAAAAATGCAAGGGACAGAATAAAATCTATAATGATATTCTATTTCTGTAGATTAGAAACACAGGCAAGCATTTTGCAAGACATTATAATCATTGACTATGTTGAGGAAGGCAAGAGATTGAGGTGCTGAAATGAAAGGAGCTATATATATGCAAGCAAACTAAAGAGAAAGAAACCAATACGGGCTAATTATAATCATGGCCATAACTGAGATTTGGGAAAAGGGAGAGGTAAAATTAGAGGTACCTAACACCAGTCCCACATTGAATTATTATATGTTTGTGCGAATTAATAGATTACTGAACTGTTCAGTAAATTGTATTCTTCCTGATATAGATTGTTTTCCACTGACCTTTTGATGAGTATGACAGAATCCCAAATAAAGATCCCTGTTCAAATGCTATAAAGAAAAGAGATAAAAAATGCCTGGACCAATCCAGCATCAAAGTCAAATTTTGATGCCCAGAAAAAGCAAACCAGGGAAGCCACCCCCTATGCAGATGAGCAGAAACACACCTGCTAAAGTTCCCACCCTTGGCTCAGTCTTCAAGAACTTTCCTAACCTCCTTCCCTTTACTAATCAAACTATTTTGACTGGGATATTTAAATGACTCCCAAACCTAGCGCTTCAGGAGCATGAAAACTAAATTCACTCTCCTCCCCAGCCTGGGACCCCACACATGAGGAAGCCAGCCATTGAGAACTGACAATGAGCTGGACAAGCCAGATGTGAGTCCTCATCAACCTCATCTGGCCGCAAAGTAGAGACACAAATAACCCCCAAACTCAAAGAACGTTAGCACTAGACAAGCTTTTAGCAGTCAGGTCAACCCTACTCCCCTCCTGGGTCGTCCGGTTCTAAAGGTGCTACGCTCACAGAGTGACTGGCCGAGCTCCTGTCCAGGGCTCAGTCCTGGAGCTTCTCCACCAAAGGCCACTCATCCAGATGTGGGGTTTGCCTCAACCATCCCAAAAGAATGCAAGATGTGTATTAAGCCTTTGAAATAAAGTCATTTCTCCCCACTGGAAACCTCGAACACCCCGTACTTTACTAGTCATAGATACTAGCTGGTGCACACTCTCAACATGTATTTCTCAGTTCTGTTCTTTTATTCTGACAATATATCAGCCCCTATACAGAAATGTATATACATTCAAAGTTCTGCATTTACAAACACTGCTTTATTCAGTCATCACTGCCCCACGCTCTCAACCATCCTTATTACTTCTGATGCAGAAAGGAAAGATGGGGGTGGGGAGGGGCCATAAAACAGAAACTCTCTGCTCTTAAGATAACTTGCGGGTGACCCCCAGTAAATGACAGCCAAGCAAAACTTCAAGGAACTTGTTACTTAGAGCTTGAATTTCAAGCCAACATCTTCCTGCATTTCTAATGAAAAACGGATCCTTCCCCCTGCTTTTGAAGTGCTCTTTGGGAATTGTTTGAGTGTTCTTTGCAATCTTTTATACCCAGCCTAAGGACTCTGACAAACTCTTCCCTTCAAAGGCTTGTTAACTATGTGATGAATGCACCTGTCACTTCCAATTCTAACCTGACTTTCTGTTGTGATGGCTGTAGAATTTGGTATCTATGGCAACTTTTCAGTGGTTCAACATCGATTAAAAAATGATTGGCTTATCAGGGTTGCTGGGTTGATTGATGGAAATGATCAGGTGCTCAAAATAATCATGACAGATAAAGTCTCTTAATTAGCTAGTGTTTGCAAGATTCAGAAATTTTAGATTTTGTTATTTTTCTTCTTATTTCCATGCAAAAGTAACTGAAATTTAGTTATACTTAAACAGATACAAGTTAATTTAGACTGTTTTGATGAAGGAAATGTGATTTCATCCATATGTCTTATTTAGAAGTCTAACGGTACTTTTTCTCTATCCTGGAAAATCCACTCCTTGGTTTTTTTGATATTTCAAGGTTGGAAACTAATTTATGGTCTTCAAAAATCAAGTTCAAATCGAAGATACTTTTGAGCCAGGTTGAGAGCATCTGTAAACCAATTATACAGCTTTTTAGCCTAATGCTGCCTCAATTATCTAAAAGCAGCAAAGACAATATAGAGGTAGAGAAACATTAATTGGATCCCGACCTGAAAGAAATTTAAAAGCCCTATTTTTTAATAGAATATTTTACACTGAAGCCTTTAAAAATATAGCCAGGTACCAATAGAATACAATTTTAAGCAGTCCACCAACTTTTTTCACTAAAGTAGTTGCTTTTAATTTCATTTAATTCAGGCATTTTTTATTATTTCTTATCTAACAATGTAAAGGTGATAATTTCATATGGTTTAAGCTATTACTTTAATTTTTATTAAACAACTGAACTTGTTTCCTAGGGCTGCCATAGCAAAATGACATAAATTGTTTGACTTAAAACAATGAAAATCTATTATCTTGCTGTTCTGGGTACTAAGAATTTTAAATCACAGTGAAATCAGTGCTCTGCTTCCTCTGAAGCCAGTAGGGAAGCCTCTGCCTCTTCCCAGCTTCTATTACTTACTGGCAGGATCTTTGACATTACTTGTCTTGCATCACAGTCTTGGTCATCACAGGCGTTTTCCTCTGTCTCTTTCTTCACAGCCATCTTCTTCAAAGGACACCTGACAGGAGAAAGCATACATTGTACAAAAAGGAAAAATGATGCAAAATATATATAAAATAAATAAAATGAAAGAAAACTATATAAAGATTTAAAAAAAAAAAAAAAGACACCAGTCAGGTTGGGTTAGGGAACACTCTAGACTCTAGTCCAGTATGACCTCATCTAACTAATCATGTCTGTTTTACCAAATAAGGCCACGTTCTGAGATACTGAGAGTCAGGACTTTAACAAATGAATTTGGAGGCACACTGGTCATCCCATGACAATAACTAACACATTTAGTCAGCGATTTTAATGTTAAGATTGCTTTGGAGACTAAAATAGGCATTTTTAAGGCTAAAACTGGCTTAAAGAAAACTAACACGGATGGTATGTGAACATGGCAAAAACTGAAGGCTCTATACAAAGAATGACTGAAATTAGAGGGGAGTTTTTTAATAAAACAGGTCACAAACATCTCCCCTTCCAATTTCCACATCCTTTATAATGCATCCTTGCAGGCACCCCCACCAAGAAATGGAATCTATTTCTCTACCCATGATTCTGGGTGGCCTTGGAGTTTCATTGGTCAATGGGATGTTAACCAGTGAGCAACGCTCAGGAGCTTAAAAAGCACGTACTAATTGGCCTGCCTTGTTGCCCTGCTGACAGAAGATAGACCAGATGAAGTAGAACCAAAGCAATTAGTTGAAGGCCAGCCAGCCCCCAAGATGCCCAGCTGGCAACTGCAGACACCTGACTTAAGCCCCAGACCAGGCAGCCAAGCCCCACGCTTAGATCAGCAGAACCACCCAGCAGAGCACAGCCCAACTGCCAACGTACAGAATTCCGAGTTGTTTTTTAAATGGTGTCTATTTAAAACTGGCACCTAGACATTCTCCTCAATTTTCTATTTATTTCAAATAGTGATTATATCATTTTCCCAAGTTTTTCATCAAAGTTGCTGATAGGGACTCAGAAATACTGGTTTATGGCAAAAATAAACACTGAATTAATTTAGATGAGGGTAAAAGAGCAAGACAAGGAAGGTGTCTGGTAATATTCTACTCTGAGGTTCATTTAGTTTCTGCCAAAAAAAAAAAATAATCTTCAAGACAGAGAGAAAGGAGCCTGGCCAATGAGAGCAAAGCAGATGAGTCAGGTCCCTAGTCTTCCTATAGGACATTTGCTTGTCAGCTGGTTTCAGAGTTGAAGAAGACAGTTCCATAAAATTTGACACCATTATTGATAACCAAACTGTTGGGCTTTGTGATGATTATTCCCAGAATCTAACCTGAATTCAAGTCTCTGTTTGAGAACAACTCTGAACAACATAATGGAAAGAGAATTAGACTCACAATTGTGACTCCTGAGAGCCCCCTCCCAAAGGCACCCACATTTATTTATACCTGCTTCCATTGGGTTTTCTCGTTGCAACTAGAGTTATCTTTCAAAACACAAATCTGATCATGCTAACCTTCGTTTTAACATTTTTCCACTGGTTTCCATTGTTCTTAGAGTACCAGCCATATTGAAATAGTCAGCTCAAGATGCCATAAAAAATACTGTGGACTAGGTGACAAACAAGAGAAATTGATTTTCTTAGCTTTGGAGGCTGAATGGCCAAGATCAAGGTGACCCCAGGTTGACTTCACCTTGGTTTGCAGACAGCTGTGTCCAGGTGTCCTCAAGTGGTCTTTTCTGTGTAGATGCACATCTGTGGTATCTCCCTCTCTCTTCTTATAAGAACATCAATCCAATTGGATTAGGAGATACCCTCATAACCTCACTTAACCTTAGCTATCTCCTTAAAGGCCCCATATCCAAATACAGTCATTTGGGAAGAGTAGGGCTTCAAATACGATTTTCGGGAGAATACAGTTCAGACCATAACAATGACCGTGATTGGCCTCTCTGTACCCACCTTCCCAGACCATTCCTGTGCCACTCACTAGCCCCTTACTTCTATCCTCTAGTCAGTCTGGTCTCCTATTCGAATTGTACAGTCTTCTAGCAGTTGTGATTTTATTTTTACCCAGGTGATACCTTGCCCTCCTATGAATGGAAATTCCAAGACAGGAAAAAAAAAACTGTGTCTGGTTTTGCTAATCAGATTATTCCCAAGTTGTGCTTGCACATAATAGGCACTCAATAAAAGGTTACAAAATAAGCAACAAGTTTAAGCAAAGGGTTTAAGCGTTATAGTAAACACACAGATTCACATGACTTGGAGCTATGGAATCTTATCCATTCTTGCATTCTTGAAATAAAAAGTTATTCAGTACCTACTATGTGAATATTCTGAGAAGACAAAAATAAATAAGATAGGTAGGTGTCAAACAATGCTGCAGGCTGAGTTCACTGTTGAGCCACATTCCCTATTCCCATTCTATTCCATCTTCAGTCTACTTGGGCATGCATATAAACAAAACACTAAGATCTTTTTAAGTATGTGATACTTATTTAGCATTGCTATTAACATTGATGGCACATATATTATTTGAAAATCTTAATGTTAGAAATAAAAATCATTCTATGTCGTTAAAAGTTTAAAAGGAGATTGTCATGCTTTTAGAGATGTAGCCTGATTATAGTCCCAAGAAAACGACTCTCAATAAATTCTTTATGGTTTTATGGGTAGCTAGAGAGAAAATACAGGTAGGATTTTAAGATATATAAATAATTGAAAGATACATACTAATTTTAAAACTCATTCCCAGGACTAATGTTACTATTAGATAAACCGCATACACACGTATGCACGTGTACACACACAAGCGCGCGCGCACACACACACACACACACACTTTTTTATAACGTTATAATATAAACTGAATAAAGAGAAAGTAGAAATAAAACATGTGTATCACACAATGCTTCTAAAGCCTAACAACTTCAGGAAGGGCAGAATTTAGGAGATTTTTACTGGCCCCCAAACTTGACACTATAAATTTGAAGAGTGTAGCTTCCATTTGATGTTTGCTTGAAATAGGTCAAGCTCGCTATTAGTTGCTTTATAGATATTATTCTAATCTTCCCAATCACCATTCCCATTTTACATCAGGGAACATCCTGGATCTGAAAACCTAAACCACAATTAATAAGCAGCAAAGCTAGGGGTTAAACTCGAGCCACATGCTCTCTGTTTTATCTCATGCTGCCTCAAAACTGTCAAGAATAGGTTTCCATTGCCTCCATTAGTAGAAAATCTGGGATATAAATAAGAAAATTAAATGAATTAAAGTAGGTCTTTGTCTTTATTTTGAGACTGGGAATGTGATTCCTAAATGCCTTCTGGACCTCAGAAGAGATAAAACAAGTTCTAAGACCTTCTATCCCTCTCCATAAAGCAATTAGGTTTCCCCTGTAAAATTATTTTTTAGCTTAGACAGGCAGTGATAAAAATAAAGTCACATGCAAGGCCAGATTTCTTCACCTAGGAGAGTTGGGTACTGAGTCTTACCGGTGACACCGCATCGCATCTTTTCCTGACTGGCAAAAGCCCTAGATTTCTGCCATAGAAGAGAGACTCCTTTTGGCTAAGCTGTCTCTCCCAGCAATCCTCTTTCAAAATGCAAATAACCTCGTAGGATAATTAGATGATTAACATCTCGGGTCATCAGGTTCATTCAAGCACAGTCAGCCAATCATTTACCAGTCCTTACAGAAAGGAAAGGAAGACAAGCAGGATCTGGCTGTGGAACTTCTTTCCAGAGAAGGGATCACAGCCCTACTGGCTGGTCCATCCTCACTAAGCTGACAGGGACCAGCCTTAGATACCATGAAAATAGACTCTCCTACTTTCCCTCCCAGGAAGAGCTCTGTGTTTTGATGTTTCCATCCGTAAAATGAGGGGAAAGTTAATACCTACTTCACAGGATTGCTTGAAAGTAAAATGATTCAAACATGCCAAACACTGTTCTGAGAACTAAGGAGGGTGCTGAAAACCACAGCAGGCATGGATCAGCCATTCAGTACACATGAGTGTTTCAACCTCCTAGACCTTCACTTTCCACTTGCCAATTTAGAGTAATGAAGCTCAGCATTGCAAGTGAGTGCCTGGCTGTCCTTGATTCATCCAACAAATGTTCACTGAACGCCTACTATGTGATAGGATTGAAGATACAACTGGATCATAATGTACTGCTTTCTGACATTCATTGACCGTACACTTTAGAAGGGAAGGCAGACAACCAACAACTATCAACCATCAGCAACAGTCATCAACACAAACATTTAACTACAGTGGGTACAAGGGCTTTGAAGGAAAAGTAGTGGACTCGTGGGACCTCACTAAGGTCTTTCTGAATAAGTGACATTCAGACAGACTTCAAGATGAACAGTTTAGCCAGATGAAGACATAAAGAATTCAGGAAAAGAGTTCCATGGACAAGGAGTACTGTGGGTAAAGCAAATTCAAGATAAGCTTCAGGACAGCTAAACGCATCATTGTTTCTAAGACCACGCAAGTGTAGTCTCTGCCAAGAATAGAAGTAACTGTGGCCAATGCATGGGGGGGGGGAGGCAAACAGCCTAGGGTCACTCCCTGGCCATGCAGCAAGTGGCCACATGGCTTGTGGATATAGCAGATGTGAGCCAGCCAAGAGTCCTGGGGGAGCATCTGTTCTTGATGGCCTTCATCCAACCTCTGCACATTCCTTCAAGAGCATCTCCAGGACAGTGCTTCTCGCCTCCTCTTCCCTTTCATCCCTCTGATCCTCTGCTCTTTCCTATTCTCTCTGTAGATGAATGTGAATAGCAAATTTTAAGATTTTTTTGTCAGATTGGCAGAAGTTTAAAAGACTAATAATATCAAATGCTGGAATGGCTGCCAGGAAATGCAACATCATCATTCACTCAGGGAATGTGTAACTTAGTGATGCCTTTTTGAAAAACAATTTGGCAGCATCTCTCAAAATTTTAAGTGCACATACCTTCTGACTGAGCAATTCCACTTCCAGGAACCATGCTTTAAAAAATACTTGCTCATGTGCACAAAAGGAGGATGTTGATTCTCGT